AACAAACCAGACAGACTAACATATTCAGTATAAGCAAAACTATTTGTCTAACCCATGATGCAGAATTAAAATTTGAGACAACTCATGCAGACAGATAAACCCATTTCTGACACATCTTGAGGATTACCTCCAATGTTAAAAGCACCATAAAAGCAAGGTGTTCTTTTGAATCAAACTTACCTGAACTTGCCTGCCCAACCAATCAAAAGCTATATATCCAGGGTCAGTCCTTAGAATCAAGAGGCCAAGAAGAAACTGTAGCCCGATTCCCCATAAGACAGGTCTCCAGTAAACCTATACAGAAAGATCAAGTGATATATCTTAGAAGGAAAATTAATGCAGGCCTCAGCATAAATGTCTAATGGATCACTATTTCCTTGGACACATTCTCAGATGTGGTCTGTCACCCACCTCCTTTGGGAGGCTAAAGCTGTCATAAGCAGAGAACCCTTTGATAGAACCATACCTTAAAAAACTCAGGCCGGGCGCAGCGGCTCATACCTGTAATCCTAGCACTTTGGGAGGCCAAGGTGGGCAGATCACCTGAGCACAGGAGTTCGAGACCTGCCTGGCCAACATGGCAAAACCCCATCTCTACTAAAAATACAAAAAGAAGCCGAGCGTGGTGGTGCATGCCTATAATCCCAGCTACTCGGGTGGCTGAGGCAGGAGAATCGCTTGAACCCAGGAGGCAAAGATTGCAGTGAGCTGAGATCGCACCACTTCACTCCAGCCTGGGCAACAGAGCGAGACTCCGTCTCAAGAAAAAAACAAAAACAAACTCAGGATTGCATTCCTTCTCCCTAAAACTGAGTTTCAACTCTTCGGTCCAGGAAAGTATGTAAGTAACAATTATGTCCTGATAAATTACTTCGATAGAAACAGTAGTCTAAGAAGGACCATTAAAGGAGGCAGGATCTGGCCATCCTAGTCAAGCTGTAAGTACTGGATACTTATAATTATTTCCCCTGTCTGGAAAATGGAAAGGCAGAACATGATTTCTCTGTGTGTCTAAGGTTTGTTGATCTGACAACCTGTAAGTGAATTAAGTAAAATATTGCCCTGTCAAGAGGCTCTCATTTGATTGTAAAAGAGCCCAATAAACTCTAATGCAGACCCAGGATGTGCAGTAGGAATGGACAGTCATTTGCTTGCATCGGTGGTGCAGGGCTGAGTGGCTTCAAAAGGACTATGGCATCAGAAGCACAGACAATGGAGATGTTCCCCTCAGCAGGGCAAATAACTTAGATCATATTAGCTGACTTGGTCTCTGATTAATGTTTTTTTCCCTTGGGTCAAGCTTTTAATGGTAAAGTCTTCCAGAGTTTGCCATCATGAGTTACATATGAGAGCTTTGATGTCTCCGAATTCTTGCCCATTTCATGGGTTACCAGTGGACAGAACTAGGATAAGAGTTGAGTTCAATATTAAAAAGAAAATTGTATAAGGACAAATTTTTGGAGTATAAATGCCCAAACTGCATGGGACTTCGTCTGGGGAAATCTGGATCAAAATGCATGAATTTTCTCTGTGTTTGATGGAGGGTATGCGAGAAGAAATTAGACTTGACAGGGAGAGAACATCTCACTGGTTGTGTAACTGGAAAATTACTGAAAATGGAGCATGAGATAGTAACAAACAGTACCGTGAAAGTTCAGGAAGATAGGGCACCGTGGCCACATTAAATAATCCCATCAAGGTAAGAAAAGTACTGAACAATAGTTCAATTCTCTCACAATCAATATTTTGAGCAATTTACACATGGGGAGAAAAATAAAAAAAGAATCTAAAAGATCAGCTGGATACTTACTCTGGTTGGGTACTTGGAAAATAGAAATAACAGGACAATGTACGTTACGAGCCCACCAAAGGACACCAGCTGCTGTTGACCCAATTTGGCAGTGTCAAAGGCCAGCCAGAAAATAACTGCTAGGACCAGGGAGCTCCAGATCACCCTAAGAGAAGGGGAAGGGAGGCATTGGCATCATTTGTTGTGCTACTTGAGAATCATAATCAGGCTTAAATTTTTTTTTTTTTTTTTTTTTTTTTTTTTTTTTTTTTTTTACGAGATGGAGTCTTGCTCTGTTGCCCAGGCTGGAGTAGAGCGAAGCGATCTTGGCTCACTGCAACCTCCACTTCCCGTGTTCAAGCAATTCTCCTGCCTCAGCCTCCCCAGTAGCTGGGATTATAGGCATCTGCCACCACTCCCGGCTAATTTTTGTATTTTTAGTAGAGATGGGGTTTCACTATGTTGGCCAGGCTGGTCTTGAACTCCTGAGCTCAGGTGATCTGCCCGCCTCGGCCTCCCAAAGTGCTAGGATTACAGGTGTGAGCCACCACCCCCAGCCATCAGGCTTAAATTAACAAAGAAACATAGAAACAAGATGAATACACTCTGGCACCAGTAGGTTGTGCTTTTGGAAACTGCGACAGAATCTTTTTGGTTGTGGCTATCAAGGCAAATAGCTAAAAAATTAAGTACTGGGTCTCCTTACTCTACAACTCTTGGGCCCTTCACCTGTCCAAGGATGCATGAAGGGGCCAGAGAGGAGAAAGCATGTTTGGAGAGGAACGTCTAGTGATTTCTTTGAAAGAGCTACTGGGATTCTTCACCTTTGTTTTGTGGGGTGGGTGAGGTGTTATCTGCTTCCCTTTAAGGAATAACTTGGAATATGTTATCTGCCCTTGGGGGACCTCGCCAGCCGCCGAGAGGGAGATCAGACATTAGGGCGAGTTCTGGCTCCCCTGGGGAGCCCAGCAAGCCTGACAAGTCTGACTCAGGACTCACGGCTTGCACAGCAGAACCAAAAGGCCTGCTGTGTTGGGATTGCACAAGCCCAGTTTATTAGGCCAAGGATGTGTGAAGTTTCCTGGTAGATCCCATGTTAGCCTTGAGGAAGAGAAGTGGTCTGGGGTCCTGCTCAGGGGGCCACCTGAAGGGAGAGGAGGTGCCTCAGAGAGAGGCTGAGGGAAAAGCTCTGAGCAGTTGCTGCAGGACACAGGGTCCTATGGGAAAGGGTCGCTCTAACACTTCACAGGCCCTTCCTCCCAAGAAGGCCAGCTTCATATCCAGAGCAGGTAGCCAGGCTGATCCTGGCTTTGAGACTGGCAGGGGAGCAAGTAACAAGGAGAAAGGGGACACTCAGGCCCAGGCTAGGGAGGAAAGCTAGGGCACTGGGTCAAGTTCACAGTTCTCATTACTGGAGGGGACAGCATATTCTGATGTTAAAAAATGTCCATGATGCCTGTATCAAACCTACGACATACCCACAACAATTAAAAATTTAAAAAATAGGCTGGGCACAGGGCTGACACCTATAATCCCAGCACTTTGAGAGGCCAAGGCAGGAACACTGGAAGCCAGGAGTTCAAGACCAGCCTGAGCAATATGGTGAAACCCCCGCCTCTACTAAAAATACAAAAAAATTAGCTGGGTATGGCAGCACATGGGAGGCTGAGCTACTTGGGAGGCTGAGGCATGAGAATCATTTGAACCCAGGAGGCAGAGGTTACAGTGAGCCAAGATGGTGCCACTGCACTCCAGCCTGGGTGACAGAGCAAGACTCTGTCTCAAAAAAAAAAAAAAAAAAAGAAAAAAGACAAGGCTATGAACTTTGGACTATTACTAAGAGTGTTCAGAAGGGTCATGGGCTTTTGGCATTTTTGTAAAATATAGGGTAGATATCTCCCATTGAATAAAATTGGAAGAATGATGAATGAAAAAAATTGTTTTATTTTGACCATAGCCCCATGGGTCATGAAAAAAAGTGCTAGCAGTCTTCAACATCCCTAAACAATTTTAAAAGCCCTACATTTTTTATGAGTAAAAGGCATGGGAAGAAATTAGAGGAAAAGAAAACCTGATAGAAAAATTATTTGGGGCCAGGCGTGGTGGCTCATGCCTGTAATCTCAGCACTTTGAGAGGCCGAGGCAGGTGGATCATCCAAGGTCAGGAGTTTGAGACCATCCTGGCCAACAAGGTGAAACCCTATCTCTACTAAAAATAAAAGAATCAGCTGGGCGTGGTGGCGGGCAGCTGTAGTCCCAGCTATTCAGGACGCTGAGGCAGGAGAATCGCTTGAACCCGGGAGATGGAGGATGCAGTGAGAGGAGATCGCGCCACTGCACTCCAGCCTGGGCGACAAAAATGAGACTCCTTCTCAATAAATAAATAAATAAATAAATAATAAATAGATATAAAGATTTGTGTTCATCATAATAATTAAAATAGCAAAGATTTTGTAGGCAAAATAAATGGTCAACCATACAGGAACTATAATCAAATTCAAGATTGAATTTGTTCTACGATCCTCATTTTGTAAATAAATTGTAAAGAGAATAGGTATAACTCGTAAAAGAAAAAACGTTGGTAAAAATGAAAGCTCTTTAAAGACACGTCATCAGCAATCTCCATCAGTCTGTACTTATAACCCAATTCTTTATTTACAGGTACTGAGATTAGATGGCATTTGTGCTGTTCCCTATCTAGTGCCAGGACAGACATTACTGATTGATCACGGTGCGCTTCCACTGACAGGTCGGAGGGAGAGCGAAGCCATCCTGTTATGACAAAACTTTCACTCTTTTCTATTTTTCTAACTACTTCCTAATACGTAGGCACAGAGATGTCTCTCGCTAATATAGCACATGGAGTGTAATATGCTCATCATCTTTTGGACAACATTTTATCATTTAATACACTTGACATTAAGGCAGTGTGTGAGGACATTTGCACAGGTTTCAAATGAGCCATTGCCTCATCTAGGCTTTGATTTCCTGTTTGTAAACTGAAGACATTGTAACAGATTACTCCCTAGGGTGTTTCTAGCTTCCATATCCCATAAACGAGGAAGTAATTTCAGAACAAATTTTTGAAATGGTGTTGGAAAAGACTCTCTCTCTTAACTGAAGTAAGAGAACCGATTGCATTTACCACTTCAGCCAGAACCAATGGCCGTTTAGAAGCCTTCTGCCAGGAGACAGCATCTCATAAATTCGCTGTTCGTATTTGGCCATCAGGTGATCCCAGACAACAAAGAAGATGGCAGCCACGGTGATCCCAAAAAGAGGAAGGGCTCTGTGAAAGTTCAGCACACAGGCCGCAATCACCATAACCAGATAACCTGTCCAGGAAGCAAAAACAGACATTGAACATCACTAATTACTGGGATACGCCTCCAGCCTCCAGCCTTCATTTGGCTCAGGTGAGGGGAAGTTTAATCAAGATATCATTGAATGCAGGAGTGCTCTTGATATGGCTACTGGCTTCTTTGATGGGGGCTTTTGATATTTTTCAAAGCAAGTCTGGAAAATTATCGCCATGAATGCTAGGAGGACAGGGTGCTAGGTCTTTTTATTCTTACAGGACCTTCTGAGTTCTTGAATCTTGATGCTCGATCATTGGGCCTCTAGGTACTGGCCATTTTTATCCCTGGCATTCAGTCTCGGCAGGTGAGCTACTATCAGAGAAAGGCTGAGTGTTGAAGCGACCACGGGCAAAGAGGTACTGATTCTTGTGGTTTGCATTTCAGATTCGGTCTAAACTGGCGTGAAGGCACAGACCTACCAACAACAGACTACTTATCTAAGTGACACAGAGTCTCTAAGGAAAAGAGGTAGGGGCAATTACCAAGGTGGCTGCTTTCGAAGAGCAGATTCTGGGATAAGAATAAGGTTTCCTATTCCTAAAGGTCTGCAGAGGTGGTCTGCAGGTTAAATCTGGCCTGCTACTTGTTTTTGCAGGTGGCAAGTACATTTGTATTTGTGTGTTTTGAGAAATAAAAATAAAGTCCTAACTCACCCAACCAACTCAACTGACCCTTTAACCAGAATTCCTTCCTAAGAAGTAAGCAGAAACCAGCTCTGGAAAACAAGAAATGGAAGGCTCATTTCTCTATCGCCTTTAGCCAATCATCTGAGGTGGTAACCAAACTCCCCCTCCCTCTTAGAGTTTTTGTTTGTTTGATACGGAGTCTCACTCTGTTGCACAGGATGGAGTGCAGTGGTGCGATCTCGGCTCACTTCAACCTCCGCCTCCCAGGTTCAAGCGATTCTCCTACCTCAGCCTCCCAAGTAGCTGGGATTGCAGGTATGTGCTACCATGCCCGGCTAATTTTGTATTTTTAGTAGAGATGGGGTTTCACCATGTTGGTCAGGCTGGTCTCGAACTCCTGACCTCAGGTGATCCACCCGCCTCGGCCTCCAAAAGTGCTGGGATTATAGACGTGAGCCACTGTGCCCGGCCTCTTTAGAATTTTGATGTGACAGCTCACCAGTTTCACAAGGCATTTCTTCCTGATAAGAGACTGCTGACCATGGAGTGGTTCTGGCCAGTCTTGGAGGATGCACAGTGAGGGTTTCTGTGTCCTTTGCTTTACCTTTTGACTTCACAGGGCTGATAACTCCACCCTCAGATCATGGTAACACTGCTATTTTTTATACACATGCTCCATAAAGAGGCATAGATCTCAGTTGTGCATGTGAATGTGTCTCCTTTCATAAATATTCATGACTCCCCCTATAGCTTATTGAATATTTATGCTTAGCCAATCCTTTCAGCATAAATTCCTGTCTTATTCTTCCCTCCCTCAAAGTACTTGTTTCTGGCTTCTGTTGGAGACTATACTTCCCAGCCTGTCAGAATAGCCACCTTGCAGGCTGCAACCCTTTATGAGAAACAGAACTTTGCTTTCCAAATGTTTGAATCTCATGATTGATTCTTCAGTTGACAGTTTGTATGTGTGTTCTAGAAATAAAGTTGTGTTGGAATACAGCCATGTCTGTCCACTTACATATTGTTTACGGTTGCTTTGTTACTACAGTGGCAGAATGGCATGGTTTTGACCTTACGTATGAAATACTGAAAAGCCTAAAATATTATCTGGCCCAGTATTCAGAAAGCTCACCAACCCTACTGTTTCCTATTCCAACTGTCTGAGCACCGCAAAACCACTGACCTTGGCGGTGCAGCAGCCTTGGATTGATGCCTGTAGGCTTGGATGCGGGTGCTTATGTTTTACAGACAGGAGTGTTCTTTAAAATGGGCCAAGTTCAGTGTGCTGAGCTTCAAGAAAAAAAATAACAATACAACAAGACAAAAACAAAAACAAACCAAAACAAAAAACAAACAAAGTGAGCCAAGGAGTTCTTTGTTTTGTAGGGAGTAAAAACAGGAGACATTTTTGTCCTGCCTTCAGGCAAGCGGAATGGGCTAGATGGCCCTAGGCTACTCATGTCGTATTCATATAAAGAATTAATCACTTGTGTTTTCTGGATTTGTGTGAACCAATGCACCCCTCAAATCCACATGACAGTAACAAAGGCTATAAGAGTGAGGAGAGTAACTGACTCCGAAAATTAGCTTCCCGGCCGGGCACAGTGGCTCACACCTGTAATCCCAGCACTTTGGGAGACTGAGGTGGGCAGATCACAAAGTCAGGAGTTCGAGACCAGCCTTGCCAACACAGTGAAACCCTGTCTGTACTAAAAATACAAAAATTAGCCAGGCATGGTGGCAGGTGCCTGTAATTCCAGCTACTTGGGAGGCTGAGGCAGGAGAATCACTTGAACCTGGGAGGCGGAGGTTGCAGTGAGCCGAGATGGCGCCATTGCACTCCAGCCTGGGTAACAGAGCTAGGCTCCATCTCAAAAAAAGAAAGGAAGGAAGGACAGAAGGAAGGATGGAAGGAAGGCAGGCAGGCAGGAAGGAAGGCAGGCAGGCAGGCAGGCAGGCATGCAGGAAGGAAGGAAGGAAGGAAGGAAAGGAAGGAAGGAAGGAGCTTCTGGCCTCATAAATGGGGTAGGGAAGAAATTTGCAAAGGCTTCACCTATTAAGGGCTTTTTGATTACTTCTCTGCCTCCCTGGATGATTCAGTAAAGGTTTAATCTCTTCCCACCTAAAGTTAATATTTGTGGGAACCCCTGCAAAAAAGACTGTGGTATCTCTATCCCTCTTTGTTATTTACCTGCTAATAAAATGCCCCAGATGATGTGCCGAAGAGTGGTTTTGTGTTTCCTACAGAAACCACATACTGTGTCATATCTCCTTTCCAAACACCTGCAACACAAAAGCAAAAAGGCAGGGAGAAGTAAATACCAAAAACATGAAATACATTGTATGCTGAGGCTAGATTAGGCTTTGTAAACCAGGAAAGCAAACAAATACATGTGTGAGGCATATGTCTTACAAAATAGAAAGGGGAAACTCATTTCATTTTAGACTAGAGTCAGCCATGATCGTGACCATTCATTGATCACCATCACTGAATAAGTGTGCCAACCCCTGAGGGATTAGAGAGGTGCAGACAACATGCTCCTGGGAACAGAGCAGGGGAGATGGATAACTAACCAAAGCTGAAATAGTCACAGGAAGAGAGTGTTTCTGGCACACTGCAAGATCCTCTGTTAGCTTCTAACCAATGGTTATTATGTATTTGTTGTTAGAAAATAAAAAGCCAAGGAACTCTGTCATCCCTCTTGGTTTGGCAAAATCTGAACAAGTTGGTGGTGCTCTGTCCCCCATCACCATCCCCATTAGTCCAAGACTGATGGGCTTCATGGGGTGTGCTTAAAATGCAAAGTAGGATTTCCTGGATGTTAGGGCTATTAACCAATGGGTTGTCACAGCTTTCTCAGAAAGCTCTGGAAGTGTTGGACTGTCTTTATTTCCATCCAGGGCTTTGTTATGGGGTGGGTGGGTAGTGTGTGAGCAATGTGTAGGTTGTCTTCGGAGGAGGATCGTGTCCAGCAGTTCCCCAGCAGTGAGCTGGGAGGCCAGGGTGATAGTCACATGGCTCTCTTCTCCTTATCTGGGGATCGTCTTGTTCCCATGTAGATGCCTCTTTCTTTGGAGGCCTCTCCTTCTCCCACTTGAGTCTGGGTGGAAGGAACTTCTTGCATATTTCCCCATTGTCCCCTCCAGGTCATGGGACAGCAGTTCTAAAAATGACCATTTCTCATCCCATATAGATGATTTCCAAACTCCAGGACCTCAAAGGACGTGGCCCCGAGCTGGGAGACCTGCACTGCCCTTGGTCAGTGCCTTCATTTTCCTGCCTTCCAACAGTCTCGCCCGCACCTCCAGGTGAGCCACCTCCCAAGCTTTGGGGCACAGCTCAAGCTTTTGGCTTCTAAAAAGTCTTCTTGCATCTCCTCAGACAGATAGATGCCTCTGAAGTTTATTCTTACTGTCTTCTTTGATTGTGTTTATTTCAAGTAGCAGGAAATATTGGTTATTTGGTTAATAACCAGTCATTTGGTTATCTAGGCTGAATAATTTCCAACCCATTAACCCTAGTGAAACCTGAGTGCCTCTGACCACACAAGAGAATTTCTCAGTCCCCCAGGGCCAGAGACCCCTGGAGAACAGATGCCTATGAGCCATACAGCACCATGAGTAGAACCTTGGATATTAAGGATGTTCAACAGACACGTATTGGTTGATAGATGAATGAAATGGGAGTAAATATTGCTTATCTGAAACAGTATTTTATGGCTCTGAGTTGGAGATCCATTCGTGGGTTATAAAGTCCACATAGTAACCACTATTAAAATAGAAGGAGGCCAGGTATGGTGGCCTGTAATCCCAGCACTTTGAGAGGACAAAGTAGAAGGATTATTTGAGCCCAGGAGTTTAAGACCAGCCTGGGAAACACAGTGAGACCTTGTCTCTACAAAAAAAAAAAAAAAAAAAAAAAAAGCTCGGTGTGATGGCACAAACCTGTGGTCCCAGCTGCATGAGAAAATCACTTGAGCCTGAGAGGTCAAGGCTGCAGTGAGCTGTGATTGTGCCACTGCACCCCTGTATCAAAACAAAAACAAACAAAACAAAAAAAAGGGCCAGGTGCAGTGGTTCAAGCCTGTAATCTGGGAGGCCAAGGCGGGTGGATTGATTGAGGTCAGGAGTTTGAGACCAGCCTGACCAACATGGTGAAACCCCATCTCTACTAAAACTACAAAAATTAGCTGGGTGTGGTGGCACATGCCTCTAATCCCAGCTACTCGGGAGGCTGACGCAGGAGAATCACTTGAACCCGGGAGGCAGAGGTTGCAGTGAGTCAAAATTGCGCCATTGGATTCCAGCCGGGAGTCAGAGCGAGAATCCATCACAAAAAAAGAAAAAGAAAAAAAAAAGACAAGAAAGAATAAAAGTATCAAAAGTATCATAGTGTATCATTCATACATAAGAATGATAGGTATCACTTCATGAAACGTTCATCATTATGTATGTGTGTGAATATGTGTACTGAGAATTAGAAACAGTGCTCTAGAAAATATTGGGTGAATAAAAGTGTAGTGAAGACATTTTTTCATGGTCTGATTTAGGAAAGGCTAATGATGTATTATTCTCAGTTGAATATATGTTAAAAAGCAGCAGCAGAGGGTGACATTTAATAGGATACATTCACATACTGCAGGTTGACTCCATCAGGTTCTTTAATTGCAGGGAATGTGTGTAGTCCATTACGGCAATCTGACTTCTGCATAAAGCAGAGTACCCACAAGTAGACACTTGGGTCATTTGGTTATCTAGGCTGAGTAATTCCCAACCTCCTGACGGCTGTTTCACTCTCATTGACATTAGTGAAACCTGAGTACCTCTGACGACCCAAGAGAATTTCTCAGTACCTCCGGGTCAGAGACTCATAAAGTAAAATGAAGGATAAAACTTTGCTATGTTTCTGATATGGTAAATATTTGGGATGATGTATATGTGACAAGAGCTGCCAACCCTAATTCTGGCCAACTCCAGAGGTATCATCTGATACATAAAAACAAAGTTCCTCCCGTAGTCCCAGCTACTTGTGAGGCTGAGGTGGGAGGATCACCTGAGCCCAGGAGGTCGAGGCTGCAGTGAGCTTGACAGATCTCACGACAGGGTCTTGCTCTGTTGCCCAGGCTGGACAGAATAGATTTAAATTAAAATATATTTCTGGCCAGGCATGGTGGCTCACACCTGTAATCCCAGCACTTTGGGAGGCTGAGGCAAGCAGACCACCTGAGGTCAGGAGTTCAAGACCAGCCTGGCCAACATGGTGAAACCCTGTCTCTACTAAAAATGCAAAAATTAGGTAGGCACGATGGTGCATGCCTGTAATCCCAGCTACTCAGGAGGCTGAGGCAGGGAGGTAGAGGTTTCATTCAGCCGAGATTGTGCCACTGTGCTCCAGCCTGGGCAACAGAGCGAGACTCCGCCTCAAAAAAAAAAAATTAAAATCTATTTCTAGATTTAAAATTAGCACCACTGAACTCCAGCCTGTGCAACAGAGTGAACCCCTGCCTCTAAAAAAAGAAGAAAAATTTCCTCAGAGACATAGGAATGCAAATCAAATTTAGGAATAGAGAAGATGGACAAATACTGTAGTGTTATGACAGAGTAGCAGACAATCCTGGACTAGGAATCAGAAGCTGAAATTGTGACCTAGCTCTCTTCGTCTCCTAGCTCACTTGGGGAAGTCAGTTCTCTGAGGTTCATTTTTCTGGTCCAAAAAATAAAGATACTAATCTTGTGTCTCCTACCTTACGGAGTTGGTTTTAAGAACTTGGAATACTTTGAGGCTATTACAAGGTAAGAGTAACAGTTTGTTGGGATTTAAAGTGGATTGGGTTTTGAGCAATCAATTGCTATTGATTGACATTGAGAAGATGAATTAACTGCATTCGTATGGACTGGAGCAATTAGTTGGTGATTTACACTTTTAATTAGAAGACTATCCTGGGTGAATTTAAATCTGCATATTGGGTTCCCAGAACATCAGCAGTTTGAATTGGCCACATTGATCATCTTAGAGCTTCATTAATTTTTCTGGAAAGGATGTCGGGTAGGGAGGGTAGATGGATGAGTGGTGACAATCTCTAATAAATTACAATAAATGTTAAAATTCAAATGGGAGGTCCGGCGCTGTGGCTCATGCTTGTAATCCCAACACTTTGGGAGGTCGAGGTGGGTGATCATTTGAGGTCAGGAGTTCAAGACCAGACTGGCCAACATGGTGAAACCCCGCCTCTACTAAAAATACAAAAATTAGCCAGGCATGGTGGCATGCGCCTGTAGTCCCAGCTACTCCGGAGGCTGAAACAGGAGAATCACTTGAACTTGGGAGGCGGAGGTTGCAATGAGCCTAGAGTGAGTCACTGCACTCCAGCCTGGGCGACAAAGTAAGACTCTGTCTGGGGAAAAAAAAAAAAAATCAAAGTAATAAAACCAAATGGGAGGTAGGCTTGGTTATTTCCCTGTTTTAAAGACTGTACCCTTTTTGTTGCACCTCCTCTTCATCATCCTCCATGTCTTCTTTGTTTCTTGGAGAATCCTGCTCAACTGTGCCCTGTTCTTCATCCTGGAAATCAAACATTGGAGCAGAGATGGAATAATGAGCATCCTGGGCATAATGGACCCTGGTTTCATTGCTCAGAACTCGGGCAAAGAACTTTCAATAGGTTCTTTTAAATTATTATGCAAGAAGACGGCTCCTATTATCTACTGCACAGACATTTTCTTCCCTGCTTATAATCTCACACAAAAAAAGGCAGGATCACATTGAACTCTTCCTTTCCTTCCAAACGAGCGGTTGGTATTTTCTCCTTTTCTTAAGGGAACAGGCTCATATTTGTGCTTTTCACTCCTGTCTCTCCCGTAATCATTCAACCCCAGCTCTGTTTTCAGCCAAGTGCTAAATGAAGTTAATACCAGGAGCTGCATAAATCTCCCCTAGTACTCTGCCAGCCCCGGTTTCCAAAGGACTGAGACCAAAGCTGGATTTATTTCCCCGGCAGCCCAGGGCTTGGTCTGCGAATATCAACACTAGCTTGGCACCTTCAAGAGCCGATAAACCTCCCCTTGGGAACGAGGATCCTTTTATCAGTTGGGCGAACAAGGACTGTTTCCCTTAGTCAGCTAGCCCTTGCTCTAATTAATTGAGTGTAGGATATCTCTGGTCCATTTTTTTCAGGGACCCAATCTTTCTAGGTACAGTTTGAGCTCTCAAATATCCATGACCCATCCTATTTCCAGGATGGCAGAGGATTTCCTACCTGTCTTCAGTCTCCAAGAATGTCTCAAATAATAAGCCTGGCTCTTGTAACCAATGGTACAGAAGCTGGTGGGGGAGGAAATAGATGGAGGTGGAGCAGTTTGAGTGTGCTCTAAGAAGTATAATGTCAAATCTCAGCACTTGTCTTCTGTCATATCCAATGTGGCCTTTGATTCTCTTTAACAGAAATCATAGAAATAAATCATTAGTGTGTGTCTGAGCTGAAAGGATTCTCAAAAATCCTGTAATTCCACGAGGCCAAACTCCATTTTTCTCCTGATTCAGATTACCTTTGGGCTGGACCCCAGGAACTAGGAAGGTGTGAGGATAATTGTAAGAGAGACCAGCTGAGTCCAAGCTGCAGCTTCTTTGGAGGGGCTGGGGTTGAGTCTTATTCATTTATTTCTGTCTAATTCCCAGCTTAGCCAATAGTCAATGTTTGGTAAATATTTGATTGAAATGATCATCATTATTATTGTCTTGTGGTGAAAGTACCCCAAATTACCTCCTATCTATGGTATGTCTAGCATTACTACTGTTGTCCTTTATTTTTCTGTCTTTACTCATATTTTAAAATCAACAACTACAAATCTCCCTTGGCTCCCACAATCATGGGACAACTGCCCCCTCTTTCCTTGCACAGTCAGGCCACTGGAGAGAGTGGCGTTTACTCTTTGGAGGTCACTTCCTCACCCCCTGCCCACTTCTCCACCCACTGTGATTGTGCTTCTGCTGAATGTGTCCTGCCAATGTCACCCAAGGCCCATTGCTATCAAATCCAGTAGCTACTCCTCAGCCTTCACATCCCCGTTTATAACTGTAAAATATCTAAATTTTTGTTTTTATGAAAAAATATTTTAAAAATATTTTTAAAAGAGCAGTTTCAAGTTCATAGCAACATGGAGCTGAAAGTATACAGATTTTTCATGTATTGTCTACCCACCCTCATCTTCCCTACTATCAAATGAACCTGGAGAAGTACGTTTGTTACAACTGAGGAGCCTCCATGGACACATCATCATCACCCAAAGTCTGCAGTGAGACTCCCTTGGTCTTGTACATTCTATGGATTTGGACACATGTATGATGACATGTATCCACCATTGCAGTATCAGGCATACTAGTTTCACGGCCCTAAAAATCTTCTTATAGCCGGGGGCGGTGGCTCATGCCTGTAATCCCAACACTTTGGGAGCCCGAGGCGGGTGGATCATGAGGTCAGGAGATCAAGACCATCCTGGCCAACATGGTAAAACTCCGTCTCTACTGAAAATACCAAAAAAATTAGCCGGGCGTGGTAGCGGGTGCCTGTATCCCAGCTACGCTGGAGGCTGAGGCAGGAGAATTGCCTGAACCTGGGAGGTGGAGACTACAGTGAGCCGAGATTGTGCCACTGTACTCCAGCCTGGGTGAAAGAGTGAGACTCCGTCTCAAAAAACAAAAAAAGCCCACACTTCTTATTTGTCCCCACCTCCCCCGATGCCTTGAAAGCGCTATTTACTGTCTCCATAGTTTTGCATTTTCCAGAATGTTGTACGGTTGAGATCGCACAATATGTAGCCAG